CGTGTGTATATACACACACACACACACACACATATCTTTCGAAGCTAAGTGGGATATGTCCTTGAATTTTTATTTCCTTTCATATCTTTTCTTGTCTCTGGTGGTCCATTGTAAGTAAATATCCATCTTCCCCACATACATAATACATGTATATATATTTATATATATTATAGAAACATATATCTATAGAGGTATAGGCTCCAAGTAGGTAGCTAACTGCATGTTCGATTCCAATTATACGTTAGGTAGTTGCAAAATTTGTCATTTCAGTCTCAATCATGGGCCTCTTTTGTGTTTATATGATTAATTACTACAATGACTTGTGATTTTAAAAAGTTTTGGCTTGATGAGTCCCAAACATTGATTTGGCTGCTCATAATCACAATCACAAACTCATCTTTTATTTAATTTCTTCATTGCTTAAATCGGTATCCCATTTATGATTTACTTATTTTTAGACAAATTAATTAGTGAATAAAAGAATTGAATGATAAAGAAACAATACCTACACACACACACACACATATATATATATATATGTATGAATATTTTGTGGGTGGAAATGTAGAATTAAATTTTAATGTTAAAAATTGATGGGAAAAGATATAAAAATCTTATAGTTGTAAGCCAAGATCACTAGTGACTCCTTAGTGCATGATGACCTCTGCAAGTAGGTTAGTTAGCCTAATTTAGAATTTGTCAATTCATCAAGAGAGAAAATGTCTAAATCAAATGATAAAGACATGGGAGAAAAAAATCCACTTCTTGTTTAGTGGACCACTTATCTATAATCAACCTTGCTAGTTAAATTCATAGGCTTGCTATATCTATATCTATATCTATCTATATATATATATAGATATATGTACATACTACACACACGTATAATATATGTGTGTGTGTGTGTGACCTTAAAAAGTATCACCTTAAAGGTTTTCTTAATAAAACATAAGTGATATGCTAAGCAAATATAAGTAATTAAATTACAAAAGAAATATTAACACACTAAAATTTTTTAAGTGGAGTTAAGACATGAATATTTATATGAAAATGTTTTGTTAATTGATTTATTTATTTGCATAAAAACAAATAAAACTAATAAAGTTATAATTAATTTATATCTAAACTTTAAAAAAAAAAATTTATTCCTACTTTTAAATGGGTGACCGTAAATTTTATTCTATCAAAATAAAATAATATTTGATTTGATTAATGTCATTTCAGTCTTAACAATAATTATTTAATTTGACTATATCCTTCCAATCTTAAGACATTGATAGGACCAATTCATAAGACTTCTATTAAGATTATCACATATAACTTCAATTGTATGATAAAATATTTTGGTAGTTAAAGGGTCTAAGGCAAGTTAATCATATCTCTCCTTTCAAACATATATGTCAAAAGCTTATAGGTTTTAAAGATTGTGTCATATTGGCTTTTAAAAATTTTTACTTTCATTTGGAGATGATTAAGATTAGTGTTTTCAATTATTTTTTTTTTGATGACATTGTCCTCCTTTGTCGTTTTATAAAAGAAGTGAGAATTTATAAAAAAGTTTACCATATTTTAAAGTTGCTTTTGAGTTAAAAATGCATTTAAAAAAATTATGTAAAGTAAAATTAGACCAAAGCATGTTATTATTATTGTTCTTATTTTTAATAAAATGTAAATTCAACTATCTATCTTATGATTAATGTGAACCTACAAACTCTTGTAAAACAAAATGATATTAAGATATCTTCTTAGAAGAATTAATGTATATATTATTGGGTACTCGAGTAAATTTGATATAAATAACTCTGGTTTCTTTGCCATCTTTAATTATTGTTTATGAGAATCATAGTTGATATAATATAAAGTTTGAATGTCTTCTTTATAAAAATTTTTAAAGTAATGTTGAAAGGGTAGCAAGTTACATTTGGTAAATTGAATTGAAGTCTGCAAATGAATATTTACGAGCAATTGGGCTTTAATAAGTTGATCAACATGAGCCGAGCACTAAACAGGTTTAGATACTTAGCATCAAATATGACCTCTTATGAAAGAGAATTATCAATTTGAACTATTGTTATATTATCTATTTTAACTTGATTCGTACAAATTCTTATGATATTCAATCAGCTTTGTCAATGATCCTACCCAAGATCATAACTAAGACTAGAAAATTGGTAGGTTTAAGAATACATATATGTACACATTTGATAATGATATTATATATATTTAAATATATGTCATTATAACGCATGTAGTAAGGACTATTACTTACTAGAAATCATTACTCTAATTTTAATGAATGACCTTCTATATCCATGTAAGAATTCTCATGTTAATTGTGTTGACCTTCAACTTTGATTAAAGAATCATTACAGTTCTCAACTTCTTCTTCGTGAATGTTTTTCTTTATAATAGTCATGTAAATTCAAATATAATATCTACAAGGTTTTAAATCTTCTTTTAAAAGTTTAGTTTTCCAAGCTTCCCCAGTTATGGCCCTGCCTAATGATAAAGGAAGGTTCATCATCATACCTATTTTTATTGAATGTCGAGGTTACTATTTTGTTAATTCAAGCATGTCATTTGGCTTTCACACTTTCAGTCCATATTTCATTGTCTCCATAGCTTAAATCTTTTTATCAATCTCTACAACTAAGACTTTATCTTCTCCTTGAGAGACTTTGTCTCTTTAATTCTCTAGTTTTGCCTATTATTCTAATACTAACACACGATTTGTTTCCTTTTATAATGGTTATGACATTTTTCTTTCTTTTAGCCATCATCAACTATTAATTTTTTTTTTTTATTTCATACACAACACCAAATTAATGTAAATAAAATTTATTTTTAAGTGATTTGACAGTAAGAGAATAATCTGCACATAATTCAAATAAAAAAATTATTTTAATATATTTCTTAAAAATGAAAGCTCTGATGTGTAAGTTAGAATAAGAGCATTTAAGAGAGCACCTAAAATAAAAGTAGAGAAATTCAAATATAAACAATTTTAATTCTTATGCTATGAAGTGTAAGGATATAAAATTGTGCATTGAGCAATTCAATTGAATTACACTATGTTCGGAGGATACAGGAAGTTCCCATGTCATAAGCTTACAACGATGCCTCGAGCAATTGAACAATTATTGATTAACATATGATTAATTTTAGTAGAATTAAAAATAAAATTATAATTTTATTAATCATACATTTAGTGAGATGGAGTGGAATGGAATGGAATGGAGTGAGGTGGGGCAAGTGTACAATTAAATCCATATATTTGTTTTGGGTTTATAACTTTTCAGTCTTATAGTCTAAAATTATAAAAATAACATTCTCCTACATCTATCCCTATTTATTTCAGAGATAATTCCTACAATGTACCATTTAAGACATCAAGAACAAAAAATGTAGTTGAAGGAAAAATAAATATCCTTTTTTATTTTGGTGGAATGATGAAAAGATATTATAATGTTTGGGGAACTCATCAGATTGATTCAATTCCCTTTTCATTTTTTATTTCTAATATGTTGATTTTTATCTTTTAACCAAAAAGATAAATTCCTTTGCCCTCTCTCACACGCCAACGCAAACAGTGTGCAAATTACAAGACATAAATTGACAAAACGTGATACCTCTTGAATTGCATGTTCTCTCACCGATCAGTTTTAAGAGAATACAAGCTGAAGGGAGAAGGTTTTTGCAGAGAAATAATTATCAGATTTTCATCCTAGTATGGCGTATGAATGAAAACCAGAAACTATGACCCAGACACTGATAGCCTCATGCCGCCTTAATTTTCATTTCATTCTTCATTCCTGTATTTAATTTTTCTCCGTCTTAGGACATATCAAACAACAACAATTTTTACATGCGAATCATTTCAACTCCTACCTTTTTTAAAAGTAGGAAGTAAAGATAACAACTTCAAGAAATTCAGCATAGAAAGTGGGAATTGAAAATCTTGATTAAAAAATTCAAGATGAATATTAGAAATTGAAAACACTTTTTATCATTAAATTCAAGGTAAAAGTGGCTTAAACATGAACACTTTTTTATTTTACATTTGTAGACAAATATAAAAATTGTGTCAGAATTAGGCAGGGATTAAATGAGAA